TTCCCTCCATCTTAGTCCTAATCGGTTTCTGTTTCGAAATTTCTCGACTTTCTTTCTTTTTTTTGGGGGGCGTCATTACGGAGAAACTATGCTTTTTCAAAATTTTGAATATTGCGCCTTTTCATGATTCACTTGTCTGTAACGACATTAGTGCCCGTACATTTATGGTCGGTTTCTTTAAAAAAAATACATTTTGTGAAACTGAAATAAATTAAATTCTCATTCCCCATTTAAACAGATTCCATAGTACTTGGGCTGGAATACATCTGTCTTTCTGAATCTTTTTCAAACTATTCAGCTGACACTGAGGGAGGCAACAAAACTAAGTAAGTATATTTTATTTTTACGACTGAGAACGAAATAGAAAAAAAAAATGCTGTGTTGTGATGATTTAATTTTTTTTATTTCAGGATACTTGACAGTGTAATTATGTCGGCCGTAATAGACCCTCCACCCGAGGTTCTACTAGAAAACATCACACTGGTTTTTAAGAACATGAAGGTGTTTACGTCTTTTTTTCGTTATCTGTTTACTTATCCATTTTAATTTCATTGGCGTTTGCCAGTTATTTTGTTTGCTTGTTTAATGAAAAGGGAGCACCAACAGTTTATTCATCTCCCATGTGGGTTACTATACTGTCGTCTTCTTCTCGCCAAATTTCGTCACCTTGAAGCGGCGGTCTTTCGCAGTTTCTCAATTTTGTATCTGAGACTTGAGGAATTCGAATTAAAGAACAAATCAACAAATTCGTTTCAAGCAGGTGTAACAAAAATATCCGACAGTTCTTTTTTTCCCTTGTCATCTTTTCCCACTTCTTTTGTTTTCCTTTTTAATAACTGAAGATTAACATGATGATCCTCATGCGAGTTATCAAGGAATTAACAACCATCCAACAGGTGAAGGAGAGCCAAACTGAGCAGATCAGGTGGGATAAGTGGTGTTACTTCTCCCTAAATGCCTCCATAATGTCAATTTTTTTCTTTAAAGTGCTTGGACTTTAAATAATCTCGTATCATAGCTTGTTACAAAGAAAAACTGGCTTAGACAGGCTTGATAGGCTTTGAATGACGCCCTAGCACATAAAATATAGTGCGTTTTCGATGGAAGGCCTTCAAACTGCTTCTTTTGTCACTCCCGACATTATATCGCGACTATTCATTGCCTTCAATTTAAGCTAAGAGTTTTCAACTTTTCTTTATATCGAATTCAGATGAACGCTTTTGTTTTCCAAGTGACTATTCATTTGGTCTCTTCCAGGCTTGGTGTCCGTGCATGCGTGGTGTTAGCTCCATTGCTGGGTGTCACTTGGCTGATTGGTTTCCTTGTGTCGTTACACATCGCCTTCTCCTACATTTTTGTAATCCTTAATTCCACGCAGGTAACGTCGTCTAAAACCTTAAAGGTTTTTTCAAGCATTTGGCTGCTTATGGATAGAGATAAGAGCGTACTTACAACGTGATAGGCGTCAGAAATACTGAAAAGCGTCTCTATATCCCAGGATAATTCAGATTCACTCTTAGACACCAGACCCGTGACCCTCCATAAATAAGCGGACTCAAGACCATTTAAACCTTCCTTTTGCACTTGTATTTTTATCTGCAAAGCCTGAGCTCTGCTTAATTATGATAGAGTCGTATTTTCGGGAAAATAAGCCTCAGATAAGTAAACGATAGTAGATGAGAAGGAAAGGAGATCTCTAGCTGAGTTGTTCTACATAAAAAAAAACAAACAAACAAACAAAAACACAAATAAACTGAAGAGTAAATCTAATTTTATTTCTGTAATTATTTGCTTATTTGTTTTTCTATCAACTGATAAAGTTTTATGTATATTTTGTTGAAGGGATTCTTCATTTTCTTCTTTCACTGCTTGGGAAATAGTGAGGTAAATATGAATTTTGAGTCTGTTATTCATATCAAGAAAAGCCGGTTAAACATAATGAGTACCTCTAATTTGACTTCTAATTCCTATCTAGATAAGGGGGCGTTTCAAAAGAAGAGTCCAAAAAATTCCACCCAAGTGCATTTAATCAAAGGCAAGGTGACGACAGAGGAAACTCTCAAGCTCGTCACATTGATACTGGGATTCCTGTGCGGGATCGAGAGTAATTAACGGACTTTGAACTTTTATTTTGCCTATGGAATGGGAAAATACGAAATGCATTTACAACCAGCGTCACTTATGTTGCTCAGGCTGTAACTAATTAAAGTTTATTCAATTTTTATTTATGCCTTTTTTTTTTCCAGCTGCTAAGTAATTTTCTTAACCACAGATTTAGCTAGGGCAACGACACTTACCTGGCTTCATTGGCATTTTATGGAATAACTATTTGTTTTAGAATCAAATTACCAGAGAATACTTGTTTAAGATATACTAAGCAATCATTTAACCGGCAATCAGGCCTGAACCGTAAATATCAGTTTTGGTACAATTTTTTTTTTTTTACACAAATAAATTTTGTAGGATATAACAATGAACTATACAGTAGAAAATTTTCTAACCTACAACCTTCGCAGGGTGCGTAGGATGTTGGTTTCTCTGTGTCACTATTAGATTTACTTGATTTCTCCGAAGCCTCCACAATATTCTTATGATTCCTTCCCTCCTCCTCCCCCCTTTCCTCATCGGCAGTTTTTGGCAACCACTAACCGCCTCCATGTTCCCCCTTAAAATCGAGGTGATCGGAAGGCGCCTTCTCGATAATTTACGTTGAAATATCAGATTATGAACTACGCACAATGTAGACAATATAAAAATTAAAGAATAAAATTTGGTACTCTGGTCATTACAGACATATCGCGTTGCTTAATTAAAAGGACACACAAACATCGGAACACGAGGGAAGACACTGGAAATGTGCATCCAGAGTAAAAAGGAAAATGTGAGGCAGTGACAGGAGACTGAGTGTTCAACGCCCATTTGTCTCAAAAGCTGCCATCGGCTTGTTTTTGAACTGACTAAAATTAAATTTCTTTTGGTGCGAGACTCGAGGATTTCAAAACTTTGAAACGACGTACCATGAATCCTGGAAACTGTAGTTTTAGTCCATTGACAAAATATGCCGGCTGGTCTCATGAGCAGATCAAGCGTTGACAAAATTTGACAGCTTTGAAATTTTAAGCGGACGCAAAAAGCGAGGCAAAAATTTGTCATGACACAATTTGTCCTTTGATTATGTCAAAAGAATTCTGTTTTTGTCTGCTAGTGTAGATAGCCCAGATGGGCACTTACGAATCAATTTTTAGTTAAACTGCCTCACATTTTCCCTTGTGTTGTGGGTGTCAATTAGTAATTTCACCGCATTTCCAACGTTTCCTTAAGTGTTAGGATGTTTGGAACATACTAATAACTGTTTCATTTGTTCCATATCAACATTTTAAAAGATAAAATTCTCATTAAAATGAAAAGTTCTTCCGTCCATTTGAATAACTTTCGATTCTAATTCGTTATATTGACTAATTTTGGTTTCAATTCGTAGAACCCGCGAAACAGGTGATATGAAAAGGGGAAAAATTTGCCTAACACGTCACGCAATACATCAAGCTGGGTCTGTCCAGTTGATTTTGATGGTCGCAGGGAAATGTCGAGTTTTTCGCTCAAAACCGTTGTGGTCCACAACAGCGTAACACCATTAACGATGGAAATAAAATGGAAATAAATTTGCGAAAAGGAAGCCTAGTTCATCGGGTTCCGTGTGCTAAACCTCGGGAGAAACTGCAAGAATTCTTTCAGAGTGTATGCGTGTTGTTTTGTAAATATAAACACGCGTAAACGTATTTTAACTTGTTTGTTTGTCCTTTTTAGGGACCGGTCATTATTTATCGCCTGGGGGGGGTCGGAGTATTTTTGTTGTCACATCGGAGCATTTACCTGATCCCCCCGTAGAGTATCTAGTTTTTTAGAGATCCCCCCTTATCGGTAGTGGAAAGTTTCATGATCCCCCCCCCCTTTTCTCCCAGCCACCGCCAAATAACTTTTTGAATATGCAAGTGATATTTTAATAGTGGTACTTACGTCTCATGGACCTTGAACCACAACGGTAAATATTTGCTCGTCAGATACGAACTGAATTGTCGAGGAAGTGCCAATCTCAGGCTGTTCATCCAAATCCACGAAAACATAGTCATCGTCGCTCTCTGCCTCTCCACTTTCGGATTCTTCATCCTCGGATTCCACGTCATCTTCATCACTCGACAGTTCTTCTGTTATCACAGTCTCTTTATTCTGTCGGTAATAGTGACATCGAATGGCCTTCACTTTGTCAAGTTTCCGACCCACAGTCGTCACACCATGCTTGTTGAGATACAGGTCTAGTTCTCTTACCCGCAACTTTTCAACTTTGCCACCCTCGATGAGGTTATCCCATTGAAAGTCCTTGTACGTTCGTTCGGCCTCTTGCCTTCTTCGCTCCTGAGCTGCTCTTGTTCTGATGTCCTTTCGGATCTCAATATCCTTCAAATGATTAACATATGCAATGACGTGCTTCTCTTCCACATTATATTTTGAGCAGAAGCTCTTCATGGTATCCTGATCGTTTCTGATACTGTCAGAATGTTCCTCGTACAGATCTTTAATACATTTTCTTGGAAGGTAATCATCTGGTGTCCTGCCCGTCGATTCCGTCTGATAGATATCCATGAAATGTCCAGGATTGTTTGAATCTGGTACAGGTTGCGGAATTCTTTCCGTTTCTGGACCGACCCATCTATTGTTAGAACACCAGGAACAGAGATTGGAACTTCCTTCTCTTGACTCTTTACAGGCATCACGACAGAATTCCATAAAAAGTTCTCCACGAATATAGTGGTCTTCCATAAACGATTCGATCTTTCGGAAGTATGCTGCACCGGGCGCTTGCTCTTTGTTTCGTTCTGATGCACCCCGATAGTTGTCGAGGTAAACAGAATTGAAAAAGAATAATTCATCAGGGGACTCGCTTACTTTTGCTCTTGATGTAATCTTTAAGGACAGGGGCATCATCAATTCTCTCGGCTACCTGACTACAGACATACCAGGCATTTTTCTCCATCCGTTTCTTTTCGTACTCTTCGTATGACTGGAGAACACAGTTGTTTGATTTCCTCTTCTGAAAGATCCTCAAATCTCCTATATTTTTCCCACTCTAGAGTTGCGCCATCCACAAGAGCATCAGAAATTGCCGAGTTTGTCCTTTCGGCTTCACCTTGCCCGCTGTCGCCCCTCGAACGATGACATCGCACTCTATAATCGGAATTGTGAACCCTTGCTAACTCGGCGTCTCGAAATCTAACTTCGTAGTTGGAAACTCCCACGCCCGGACCAGCATCTGTAAGGTCAGCCCATCGTGGCTTTACAGGTGGAAGGCAGAGATCTCCGAGAACTTCAAGACCATGTTTACATGAACTGGTTACCCTTAAAATCCTGTCCTTTCTCGCATCTTTTTCCATGGAATCGACTTCCTCTTTAAACAGATCATCAATGGCATCTAAAATGCGTTTCGTGACTGGTATTATCTGACTAGCAAACAGAGCCCTATTGTGCTCTGACATTTCTGTGTCTTCGCAAAACTGCAACAAATTGTCAATCCTTAATTTCAAGTGTTCTGCTCTCTCTTTTTCGTAAGTGAAGAATTTACAGTTACTTTCTGTTTCTCCGGATAATTTGTCTAAGTCATCTGACTCTGTCATATCATAATAAAGAAAGAGGTCATCGTGTAGTCGCGCGCAGCATTTACGAAATCCCAGTGAGTACTGTGGACTGCCAGGTGTCGGTTCGTCAACCTCAAAAGCTGATGGATCCTCATGTCGCAAACGAACCGTTTCGCTGGCCCATACAGTGCCTGACGATCCCACTACTGCTTTGGGCCGGACAAATACATAGTGGCGATCGTCCTCAGTTATCAGCTTCTCTTCAGTTTCATTCATTACACTTGACTTCGTGAAAACACGGTGAGAACCCGGGGTCACATATACCATTTTCTCAGGCCAGTCGTACTTTGGCAACTTCCTTGCTTTAGTGTGATCTGATAATGTTAAGATCCTAAGATTTCTGGCTTTGTCAAAACCTTCAGATGTACCTGGTCTAAGGTAAGCCTTGTCATCGGTGCTTCTCATGAAACAAAACTTTCTCGCGCTGGAATTTCTGGCACCCCAGAATCGTCTTTTTATGTTTTTTACGTGTGCTCGTTGGTAGTGAGTGTTTTCGTTTGTGTTTTCTTCGCCTTTTGGTGGCTTTTTCCAACAAAATAGGCCTTTGCCACAATGGCGCTTCGCTTGGAGACTTCTTTTGTTTCTCGGTCTCGCCCTGTTGTAGCGGATTGAATTAATTTCTTCCCACGTTGAGCTAGTCGGTAGTTGGCAATTGAAAGAAGGTTTTTCTTCTTCACCCTCTGGCCGGTATAGAGGACCGTATCATGTCGTCTACCATGATAAGATGATTTATCCTCAATTGCCTTTGCAATGAAGTCTTCATCTTCCTCATCTAGCTTTGGCTTCGGACCTTGGTTTGACAACTTTCGCCTCTTCAGTCGATTACATTCGATAAGGCTTGAAGCTTGGCGCTTGAGCATTTGGCGTTTTCTCTGATAATTGCTTTCGGTGGGCTGGCTGTGAAGAAGCCCCTCCGTGTCTTCAACTTTTTCCTTGAGTTTTTGTACTTCGCTTTGGATTTCTTCTAACGTTTTGGATGACCAAATATTTGTTTTCTTTTGAAGAAGGTTTTCCTTCTCTTTTATCTCCTTCTCCAGCTTTTCCTTCTTGGAATTTAAGCGCAACCTAACGAGGTCGGCTGCTGCCTCATTAGCATTTTTTACCTCTTCAACAACGAATTTAACTCTCTCCGTCATAGACGGAAGATTGTCAGGATTGAAGCCTAGGGCTGTCATTTCTTCTCTAGAGAATATGGATCGCAATATAACTCTAAGACAAATTTTATCCCATTCTGAGTCCATGGTAGTAACGATACCTTGCACGGTTTCCTTATCGAGAACAAGAGCACTATGTCCACTTTTAGTACTACAAGCACTAAAAATATCCAAAAGGAATGACTCTAAATCGACTTCGTCAGGACGGAGCGCGACATACTCAAAACCCTCGGTTATACGAATGATATTGATCCTGAGACCATGTTTTTCATGAAGTAAAGCTTCGCGAAAGGCAACTCTCTGATATTTTGACGGTGCCCCAGAGTGATGAGGTTGAAACGCAAGAAAGTACTCTAATGATTCTTGAAAGGGGATTGAAGACCTAATTCTTGTCTTAGCATTGGCATCTTGCACCGGAAGAAATAGTTGATCGAAGACATAGAGCAGACCTTGAAACTTGTGCTTCTTTTCCTCTGAAATTGCTCTCGATAATTCTTCTTCTATAACACTCCTATTTTGCTCTAGGGTGCAGCTTTGTTGTGATGTTACAATCTCCATTCTCTTTTTTCCCTGAAGTAGTTTATAAAAGGTGACTTCGTCTTAGATCGAGAAACTCACAGTTTTACTAGATCTATGGGCTTGAGGAATGTATCTTAACGATTGGATTTTGGTAGCTGTTTTCTCTACAAGTTCCGTTTCTTTATAACGCCGCGTTAATTTTCTTCATCAGTTTGAAATTAAAAAACACACCTTTCGCATTTATTTATTTTATTAGAAAGTATTTTGCCTTCACTTTGCGATAATTTAAATCGCGTCAATTTTCTAGTAAGTCTGCTGGTTTATAGTCTGCATTTGACGCACGCACGAGGGAGCCCCCACATTTTTTTTCTTCCGCACGCTTCGCTTGCGTCACGTTCTACATTTCCGTTTTAATTTAATTGTATTAATGGTAAGCATAGTTAAATATTTAACACTGTTATTTACCACTGATCTGCAAATTATAGGGTTGTCTTTCAGATGCCGGGAATAACCCTATCTAAATTATAGTGACCACAAATACCAGTATTTGCAGTCTTTAAATACAAAGAATTAATGTCCGCGTCGTTTCGACGTTTCAATGTTAATGATTACTTATACTATTGCATGCATATTTTATTGTTTTACTTCTCACCAGTTTGAGCGTAAAATAATGGACCAGTATCACGAAGAAATTGCCGCGTTTTCCTTCATGATGATTTTAATAACATCGAAACGCCGTCAGACAACATTTGCTAGCTTTTATATTTTTATAAAGACTGCAAATCCATCATTTATTTACCTGGTCATTGTCGATATCTGATAAAAGCCGCTCAGTTCTCGCCCTTCGCTCGCTTCGCTTTTCATTATGGCATCGTTTATGGGTACTTCCATCACTTAAATCCAAATGCTTTCCAAGCTGATCACCATTATCGTCCAGATTGCTAAGCTTTTCTGTCATATCTTCCATTCTTGCTCAATTACAATGTCTGAAGTCCAACTGTCGGAAATCTTCTCAGCGCGCTTTTAAAATAATGCTTTGTTGTTGTGACCTACTATTAACTAACATCGTTGTGACATATTAACTTTAACTTTATTTTTTACATATTAACATATAAAACCTATATTGAGCCGAAACGTGGGCACAGAACTCGTTCAATTGCGCTGATTTGCTTTCATTATAAGCCTTTTCAATGGATAAAGAAATTGACTATCTTTTAACAAAAGCTGACTTGAGCAATTACACAGACAATTTTAAACAAATTGGTGTTGCAAAGGTCGAGCATTTCCTGGACGTCGATGACGAAACTCTTGAGCGAGACATTGGACTAACGAAGATACAAACTCGCCGTCTGAGGCGTTTCTTCGCTCAGATACAAGGCGAATCAAAGCAAAGAGGAACAAGCAGTGAAGGTATTGAGTTATCGTTTCTTAGATGATTATTTTGAAGGCCTCTATAAAATAATTGGCTTGTGCTTCAAACCAGCCATGAACAAAAACGTAAGGCAACATGGTGCATAATTTGTAACGCAATCCTTAACAAACATTTATTATGTGATCGGTAGGTGTTACGTCCGCCAGTGCTCCCAAGAAGCGCAAGCAGGCGATTTTGTCATTTGGACGCTCCGGGCAACTACAAGTCCTGAGGAACGACTCAGCACCAGAAAAGAAGCCGTGGGAAAAATATCTTCTTCCCAACCCACACACAGAAAGGCTGAAATTCTACAATAGTGTTGTACCGCAGATTTATGAATCTTCATTCGTGAGTAAACAAGCCGGTTTCAAACAGTATCTCCTCGAGCAACAGCAAATGCGTTGGCAGTTAAACACAAAGATAAAAGCCCTTTCCGATAAAGAAAACAACTTGCTTAGAAACGAGAATTGGGGAGTGTGCCAAAACATCATGAAGTTCATGTCAGGCGTGGATGGATGTAAGGGCAGTGGTGATGTCGCGAAGTGTGAGTCCTCCTTGACCACTGTCAATGAGGCCTTTAATTCAGCATCCGATTTGCTCTCATTTATCGACAACAGACGAAAGAACCTTTATACAGAAGAGCATACCTTAAGGTCGTTTGCAAGTGATGAGCTCAAATATTTCCAGGAAGCTCAAGAGCGAGTGAAGGCCATACACCAAGAGCTGCAGAAAGCCTCCAATGCGCTCACGACCACCCTCATGAGCTTGAAGAGAAAGTTCCCATCTCCCATGGGGAACAACGGCCAATCCCGAAGAAAAAAAAAAGAAAACAAGAGAAAAGTGAAAAAAATCAAGGAGAAAAGGTTGCATCAGCGAGCAGCAATTCTAGAAAAAACTTACCTCAAAAAGAGGTAGCTAAAGAGGTTTTCGATTCACTCGAAAAGAATACTTACAAATGTGTCTCAAGTATTAATGCAGGATTCACTGCGAGATTTGTCAAGCGTCTCCACCTGGATCCTCTGCTATGGCTTTTGGAAAGAGGCGTGTTTGAAACAGAGCTGGCACGCAATTTGAAAGTGGTAGTGGCCAGAATGAACGAAGAGAATAGCAGTAATGGTGCTGAAAAAGGGTCAAGTTCGGGCGAGGATTCAGATGAATCTGACGAGGAGACTGTGCAAGAGCCAGTGGAGAGGGCTGCCGAAGATTCTGACACGGAAGCGGAACAAGATACAGCCTCACCAAAATAAACACTTTTTATTTGTTGTTTTCATTCGATCCCCCTAAATTTCCGACCCCCCAGGCGATAAATAATGACCGGTCCCTTAAGCAACGCGATATGTCTGTTATGACCAAAGTACCAAATTTTATTCTTTAATTTTGATATTCTCCACACTTTGCGTAGTTCATAATCTGATATTTCAACGTAAATTATCGAGAAGGCGCCTTTCGATCACTTCGGCTTTTTTTGTAAGTCATGCAAGCGCGCAAGCGTTGCGACCGATAACGTTTACGTAACGTTTTATGACAACTCGGCATCTATTTTCCACTCAGTTGTTATCAAAACCTAAAATCCTCAACTAAGAACGTAAACGAACGAAGTTTAACGGTGAAAAGGAGATATTGATCAATTTTCAGAATTATGCAAGCGATCTTTGACACGAGCGCAATTGAGCAACTACATGGATTTGCGTTGTTTTTAAGATGTTGGTGGACGGAAGTTTCATTGGTGTATAAACTATGAACTGGTATGCTTTTTCAGCCCGATTAACGCCTGCATTTTGAGAATTCTTTCGTACAAATTAGTGAATTTTTTGATACACAAAGTAAGGTCGAAGAGAAGGGTCTCCTAATGACGCTGGTATGAAAAATGTTTCAGCTGAAGTTTCTATATTTTGTCTGTGAACTAATTGAATACATCTTGTAATTTGTAGCAAGATAGTATTCCGCGAGCTATATTATTGCAGTCGCTGCGCTCTGAACAAAATCTGTGAAATTTACACTTTCGATCGCTGTCCACTGAAGTGGTCTGGCCAAACATACTTTCTGGCTTGGGGCGACGCAAGAAAAGAGAATTAGAGAACAGCTAAACTATTTTGGAAACATGTGTCCTAAACCCTTTTCATGGGCAAAAAATAAAATTAAACTTTTTTTTTTTTTTTTTTTTTTTTTTTTTTTTTTTTCAGACGGGAAGTCGAGAGGACCGTTCTTAGCGAGAGCGGCACAAAAAATTATTCATTTACCACTTGTTTGTTCGCTAAAACATCAGATAAATATTACAAAATAAGCTACACAGCTGGAAATATCTGGTGCAAAATTGGATCTGCTCCATACATCATTAAAATAGATTGAGGAAAGAAAAGCTTTCCTCTCACGTTTAGGTCTCCGCGGTGCATCTCAAGCTTGGAATGATGAAAGCGCTTTGGTATGCGTTAGGAGTTAGTTCAGTTTATTTCATGACGATCGATTTAGGTGAGTATATTATCATCTTTAACTTGACTTCTCTACTTTCTAATTAGCGCCCCTAGCTAAAAGCTTGTCGACAGGAAGCTGTTCTTTACGGTTCAAATCCTTCAAAACCGAAAAAAGATAATATATGAATGGATCACATTTAGAGAGATATGCGTATTTCCTGCAGTTTTGCGGGGTACATATATTTCCTTTCATATATTCCTTAAACGGAAAACATTTGTGATCATTTGTCCATCTGAAGTTGCGTATACCCCTAATGTGGACAACTTTGGTAAAAAAAACACAATACAAACAACTGATTTTTTTCGACTTAAATAAAAACCAGTAGATTTTAGTTAATTATTGTTGCCTTTGGGATTAAAAAAAAAAATTTCTAAAACCGATTTAATGATATACCACATGACTAATATTACATAGAATTCATGTCCAATTATTTAGCATTATGAACTTCTCGTCTCATCCCTTATGTCATGTATATTATTGAATTCAAATTGGTTTTGTTTCATGACTGCTTGAATTGTCGGATGCGTTTCCTAGTTGCAAAGACTTATTTTGCATGAGAAGCATTTACACCTGGTTCAAAACTGTTGTTTTTGATTAGTCATCGATTAACAGAAGAACCCTACTTACATTTTGCGACATTTCCTTCACATGACAGATATGCCTTAATATAGCATTATGTTAATTTTCAAAAGATGTCAACATCACGAACATATGTCGGCAAAAAGTGTCTGTCAGCTTTTACTTTGGAAATGAAGAGAAAATTAAAATATTTGAAGAATAAAATGGGAATAGCAGATCCTTGGAGATATTCTAAGTATCACGATTTAACCTAACTGAATCAGTTTCAATCTCAGGCTTTTCTCTTAAGGGAGAAGTATTCTTCTAAAACCATTCTCTCCTATTTCCAAACTGTCACTTCAAAACTTCACCTCGAATGACTTGTTTAACTTCGCAATCTTCCGTATTCTTGGAATTTTTTTTAATTTTAAGAGTTTAAGATTTCTATTACATCAGTTTATAGCGTTTGGGAGAATGCGTACTGTCTGTGTTGCTTCTTCGTGGATGCCGTGCAATTATCAGGGATTAGGCACCATCTTGGACTGGCTGACCTCCAACCTCGATTTCATGCGAAAGCTTTGAATCCCGCGTGCTGTGGCTAGATGACCCGCAATTTGACTCCCATTGATCTAGATGCCATGGGACGAGTGTAGACGAACTGTAACCAGTTAACCATTCGAAATGAATTACTATAGATCGGATCTATGCGTCACGCAACCATTAGATATTCGTAGGTTCGATTACACCCTGGATTTTTGTTACGCAGAGAAAAAAAAATTATAATTTCTAATTATAAGCTAGACTGATGGCTCTTTAGTGGTGAATGATTATTACCAGTTGTTATTGGTGCCTTTTTAATCCAAGGTAACGGCTTTTTTTCCTTTCTAATTCCGCAGTTGTTCAAAGGGGCTGGGCAATGGCAGAACGAAGTAAGTGCCCATTATCAGCTAGCTTGAGCAAAGTTGAAAAAAAAGATGAATGACCAAAACAAATCTCAAGTGGGTGGATGGGCTGTAAACTATTTATTTTATTCCGCTTTGTTTAAAAATGAAGAGCTCATTTACTCTCTTTCGCTGCAAAATTTATTTTCTTGCAGATGATAAGTGTGTAAATGCCCCGTTCTTGAAGCAGAGTGAATGTAGTGGTTCCAAATGCAAAGAACGTCTTAAGAGTAAATGGCAGAGAATAAAATGCTTACCGTTTTCCACCAGCGGTCGCAAAGGTCTATGCTCTAAATGGTGCCATGCAGGAGGGACATCGACTCAGTCTTGCTATGATGCATTTCATAGATTTTCTTCAGAACAAATCTATTTCAAGAACGGCGACGAAAACTTCAAATTTGAAGTAGGATACTGCAGATCCTTCGAATTTATCATTAGGTTAGAAAGGGTGCTCTCGAGTAAGTATTTCCCCTTCCTTTTTCTGAGTGATCCTTTCTACCTCATTTTTCTTATTATCATTTTTCTTCTTGTTATCATTACTTTATTATTGCTATTGTTATCATTATAACAAAGGAATTGAAGGAACAAACGTTGTAATTCAACCAACCATAAATGTAACCATCAAGGATGCAAAAGAGCAGTTTAGAACTTCAATCCAAAGCATTTGGTCCAACAATTCACGTGGGGGCACAAATTCAACACAGGATCAAAAACTGGAGGATACTGTCTTTGCTGCGTTCATCTTTGAATACTTTATATTAAGCACTGCCAGAGAGCGGCTGCACGTTACAAATCCCGAATTTATTGATGTGGATGAAGATCTGAGTAAGTGCAAAATAGCCTTTCCTCTTTTTTTTTTCGGAAATGAACTTCATCATGTACGTGTTTAGGCAAATAATGCGTTTACGTTAAGAGCCAGCACCACTATCCTGTACATCAGCTAAAACGAAGAAAAATTCTGATATCTCTTCGTGTGCAGCATCAGAAGAATTAAGTTGGAGGAAATGCAACTAAATAAATTCCAGTCATGCTGGTCATCGCCTGTACTGAGCTGTAGCATTTGCATCACATATTTTGCTTTTTTATCAATATAGACTTTCGAGTTAGACGCAATGTCCTCCAGAGAGGAGCTGACTTTCTGTTTAATGGAAGTAATCGCGGGAACTTTATTAAGATTCCCTCAGCTAATCTGGATCGAGGTAAAAATAATTTCTTGAACAACTCTTCAGCGGAAATGGCTTCATTCCGACGGGCAATAACAAATTTGCAATATGCATTATAACATAGCTAGTAAATTTGTGTAATCAAATTCAATTGCGCGAGCGTGCTTCATATTCCTATTGTGCACGCTCATGACGTCAGGAAACAAATCTGTCGAGAAAAAAATTGAAAATATTAGAAAACAATTGGTTCATACGTCATTTCTGTTTCCAAAGATGCAATTTTTTTGAAAAACGACCATGAGTTTTAAATCCTCTGAGCAATTGAATTAAACAATCGAAGCACTTGGGAAGTGAGCATCTTTCGTGCTCTCCAAACTTCCCGCGTGCTTCATATCTCGATGAACGCTCGCTGACGTATTAACCAATTGTTAATTAGTGTGCACTTAATACAGGAGTTCTTGTTTTCTTTTTCCCTTTTTCCCTCCATCTTAGTCCAAATCGTTTTCTGTTTTGAAATTTCTCAAGCCTCTTTCTTATCCTTTCTTTTCTCTTTTTTAGGTTTCATTACGAAGAAACTTTATGGTTTTTGACAAATTTTGAATATTGCGCTTTTTTCATGATCCAGCTGTCTATAATGACATTTGTGCCCAGAGCATTTAAAACCTATGGTCGTTTTTCAAAAACATTGCATCTTTGGAAACAGGAATCAATACATTTCTCATTTCTCTTTTAAACAGACTCTACAGTACTTGGGCTCGAATACAACAACCTTTCTAAGCTTTTATCAAACTATTCAGCAGACACTAAGAGAGACAACACAACAAAGTATGTGTATTTTATTTTGATAAATGAAAATGAAATAGGAAAAAAGCATTTTACTATTTTTGATCATTCAATCTGTTTCATTTCAGGATACTTGACAGTGTAATTATGTCTGCCGTAACAAACCCTCCGCCCAAGGTTCTACCAGAAAACATCACATTGGTTTTTAAGAACATGCAGGTATATCCGCGACTCGTTCGTTATCTGTTTACCGTTTTTTTTCTTTATTTTTTTTATTTTTTTTGAATTGGAGTTTTCTTGTTTGTTTGATTTTGGTTTGTTTCATGAAAGGGAAACACCAATAGTCCATTCATTCCTCATTTGGGTGAATATGTTGTCATCTTTTCCCTAAGTTCAATCTAAGATTTGATGATTGGCCCATAATTTGAAAACTTCAAATTATGTACATTCAACAGATTCACCCAAATTCCTCATTTGGGTGAATATGTTGTCATCTTTTCCCTCAGTTCAAACTAAGATTTGATGACTTACCCATAATTTGAAAACTGCCCATGACCTGATTAATAAATCAGCATCACATCCCATAAGGCTTCCTGCAAATTTTTAAATTTCGTCACCTTGAAGCCATCACACAGGGGGGAGGGAAGGGGGGAGGGGGACTATGAGACACTGGCAGCCCTCTTCGATTTTACATCGAAGACTTGAGGAATTCGAATTGAAAAACAAATTAACAAATTCGTTTTTGCTGAGTAACAAATTTAGACTTCGTTAATGGAGTGGATCCTAGAGACCTCCATGTTGAGAATTACTTTTTAACTTGGAAGGTTACATTAATATTCTATGACTATAACGCCTTACGAGTCTGCTACTAGTGAGGCATCACCGAGGTGAACGCTGAAGCCTCTTTATATTACTCTTTTTTTTTTTCCAATAGGTGAATCGTAAAAAAAGAACATGTGTATTCTGGAGCTTCTCAGAAGAAAAGTAAGCACCACAGTAACGTAAAATTTATAACCAACGTGAATTCTTCCAGTTTTTCATCTGGAAGAAAGCTAAAAGTATCAGAAATCACTTTAGTGCAATTAGTAGAGGGGGTTTCTGATCGAATGAGTTATTTTGACTCCTTTCTACTCATCAAATTATTTTTTAAAGCTTTGGGAGTTGGTCAAGTGAAGGATGTCAAACAAAGTTGATATCCGATCATTACACGGAATGTGTTTGCAATCATCTCACCCACTTCGCTGTGCTCATGGATTTCACCGACAATGCTGATGACGGGAAGGTGGATATTTTTTCCTCCCAAATAGAATCATATGAATCTAAAAAAGGTACATAGAAGCTTTAAAAGTCTGGCATTTATTTGTATTTGTTAATATAGATATTTCCTTTGATGCAAATAAAATAATTATGACGTTTACAGTTTTTCAATCAGGATAAAACTCTTTCGTCATATGAGCATCACAAAATACTGACACTCCTCACTCGAGTGGGGATGGCTTTATCTCTCATTGGAGTCATACTCACAATTATCAGCTATCTTCAGCTTACGTAAGTACACTTAATTAGCACTGATATCTAACTGTATTGTGGAAAATTAACTATACCTAAAAGGATGGAAAATAAGCCCTCAAATCAGTTCTGGATCGCTGTCAGTACAGACCGCTCGTATCATGAAAAGAAATCAAACGTTTTGAGATGATCTTTCTTAAAAAATGATATTTTAATAGAAACTTTCTGGTCAGTATTCTTTTATCCATTCGCTATTCACTAATTAATTCGTGTAAAAATTGTATTATGCCAGCATAATTATTCCTTGCGATTGTCTTTTTGACCTTGGCTTTTTTCTGACTGCTAAATCAATTTCATTTCGTTACCATTTATTGACTTGTTTGTAGAGACAGAAATTTACCTTTGTGTCACATACGGGTTAGTCTGACATCCTGCATTGGAGCAGGACATATCATCTTTTTCGCTGGAATCGACTCCACTGGAAACCAGGTGACTCTTTGATCTCCTACTTTCGTGTTGCTTATTTAAGGTTGCTGTTCTTGTGATTGATTGTTTGTTTGTTTGCTTGTTTTTAATTTGTTCCAGCTTCTTAATGATTTGAAGACTTACTGATCCATCGAGTGATTCTTTTTTCTTGTTCTTGTTCTTTTTTTTTTTTTTTTTTTTTTTTGCGGTTTTATATGTTTTCTATGTTATAGTTTTGCCTTGTTCATTCTGTTTACTTTGGTTTTTGTTTCTTTCTGTTTTTCGGATTATTATTTCGGCAAATACCATTTGACGGGAAAATTATAACATTTTTACAGATTACCTATTTCTTGCAGGCTGCTTGTGTAGCTGTGGCAGCTCTTATGCAGTATTTCCTGATGGCCAGTTTTTGCTGGATGCTTGTCGAGGGGATTTATATCTATTTATTTGTTGTAAAGGTTTACAACATTAGCGATAAAATACATCGCTATCATGGTTTCTGCTGGGGTGAGGAGCAAGAAATGAGAAAAATGGGATAGGACTTGAAGAAATACTTGAGGAAATATCTCGATTCTGATTTGCGAAAACCAAACTGAACAAAAAGATCTTAACATGGCTTTGTTTTTAATACTTCAAATGAACACACGCATTTTTTGGAAACCATTGGATCGTCTCGAGTTGTACTTGAGTTAATCGTAAAATATTCTCGGTGCTCATTAGAGTTAGTTACAAATGCAAATTTGGTTGGCTGAAGTCACGCAGCTATGTCTAATTTGCGGTGTTTTAGTAATTTCATACCCACGACCAAAAGGTTTCAAGAGTTAACAACATAAAAAATCACATTGAAAATTCATATAATCGCGTAACAACTTACCGCCGGTGGTTCATTAAAATCATTAACTTCTACAGTCATCTGCTTTGGCAAATGAAATTACACTAGTACTTGATTATTTTTGCTGTAATGTCTTACTTAAACTGGCAGTCTTTCATCATTACTTTCCTCAGGACTGCCTGCAATCATAGTTGCTCTATCTCTGCCAATCGCTGCAGGAAATGACGGAATCGAAACTTTTGTCGATGGTGAAAAGTAAGTTTTAAAGTTTGTTTATTTTATCAACTCTATAGAAAATGGTGGAAGCCGATTTTATGAACCTGAAAAAAAAGTGGGAAAGGGGGAAGGTAACGGAGAAAGAGCCTTGGTTCCCTAGTGTGACCTTCCCTTTTCCCTGACTCCTATATTTTGTAAACCAGGACTCTAGGGAATGCAAGGGCTTAATAACAAAAACCTGCAGCCCTTTTAACTGGCCTCAGGCACCAGGCACCAGGCACGCCCTTCTTTTAAGCTGCAAGCCATGGATCTCTCCATGTATTACAGTAGAAGTAATGGAAGAGTTTCTCAAAGTAATATAAAGGCAACATGCTGCCTCAAAAATGGGTTTCGATTGGACATTCTGCCATGAAACACCTTTAAGTGCTGCTATCGACGTAGAAAACAAATTTAAACTTTGTTCCCCTGTGCCTTTTTTTTCTAATTCTAAATTCTAGATTGTAAAATTATATTTTAAATTATAAACCTGCGAAAAAAAAAAGGGGGATGGGGAAAGGTAAAGGAGAAAGAACCTTATTGCCCTAGTGTCACCTTCCCTTTTCCCTGCCTCCTGTGATTTGTAAACCAAGACATGGGAATGCAAGAGCTTAATAACAGAAACCTGCAGCCTTTTTGACTGGCCTCCCTCCCCCTCCCTCCCCCCCCCCACCCTTACCCCTTACCCCTTACCCACCAAGCACCCTCCTCTTTCAAGCTGTGGATCTCTCCATGTATTAGAGTGGAAAAGAGGGAGAGTTTGTAAATTATTATCCAACATGGCGTAATTTTGGAAAGTAATATAATGGCAACATGCTGCATTAAAAAATGGTTTTGGATTTGACATTTGACATTGCCATGAAACACCTTTAAATGCTGCTATCGATGTAGACAACAAATTAAAAGTTTGCTCTCCCGTGCCTTTTGTTTTTATAATTCTAAGCTGCTGGATGTCCTCCTCTAATAATATCATCTGGATATTTGTTTCCTTTGTTGGACTGATCGCAATTGTAAGTGGCAACAGATTGAATTTCTTCGATGGATACCAGTTTAGTCATCTGAAAATAGTTGTTTCAACGTTGATTAGATCAACATTTTTTCGATAATTTCTATTCTCTTGATGAGTCTTTGATTTTCCTCTCAAAAAACTTACAACAGAAGCAGGTGCAATAAAAATATCCTACAGTTCCTTTTTTCCCTCTTCATCTTCTCCCTCTTCTTTTGTTTTCCTTTTTAATAACTGAAGATTAACATTATGATCCTCGTGCGAGTTATCAAGGAATTGACAGCAAACCAACAGGTGAACGAGAGCCAAACTGAGCAGATCAGGTGGGATTATTCGTGTTACTTCTCCTTAAATGTCTCCATAATGTCAATTTTTTTTTCTTTAAAGTGCTTCAACTTTAAATAATCTCGTAAAACAGCTTGTTACAAAGAAAAACTGGCCTGAACAGGCTTGACAGGCTTTGAATGACGCCCTAGCACATAAAATATAGTGCGTTTTCGATGGAAGACTTTCAAAGTGCTTGTTTTGTCACTCCCGACATATATCAAGTATTCATTACCTTCAATTTGAGAGTTTTCAATCTTTCTTTATTTCAGCTTGTGGGAAAAAGATTAAGAATTCAGTTTAACGCTTGGGTTTTCAAAGTGACTCTTCATTTGGTCTCTTCCAGGCTTGGTGTCCGTGCATGCGTGGTGTTGGCTCCATTGCTGGGTGTCACGTGGCTGATTGGCTTCCTTGTGCCGTTACACATCGCCTTCTCCTACATTTTTGTAATCCTTAATTCCACTCAGGTAATGTCGTATAAAACCTTAAAGGTTTGTTCAAGCATTTGGTCGCTCATGGGTAAAGATAAGAGCGTACCTACAACGTGATAAGCATCAGAAATACTGAAAAGTTTCTCCATATCCCAGGATAATTCAGAATAACTTTTAGACACCAGACCCGTGACCCTCCGTAAACAAGCCGACTCGAGACCATTTAAACCTTTCTTTTGCACTTGTATTTCCATTTTCAAAGCCTTAACTCTGCTTAATTATGATATTGGACTCACCATGAATCGATTACATCTGACGGATAGAATTGTATTCGGGAAAATAAGCCTCAGATAAGTAAACGATCATAGCTAATAAGGAAAGGGGACCTTCAGCTGAGTTGTTCTAAAAGACACAACCCTACATTCACGACAAAAAAAAAAAAAAGGCAAAACAATTTTGAAAAAAGTGGAAAGCTTCTTTCATTTCTGCGTCTATTTGCTCATTTGTTTACCTATTAACCAATAAAGTTATATCTATATATTTTTAAAGGGATTATTCATTTTCTTCTTTCACTGCTTGGGAAACAGTGAGGTAAATATGAACTTTGAGTCTTCGCATTTCATATCAAGAAAAGCTGGTTACATATAATGAGATTCTCTTCTTTGAATTCTAATCCCTATCTAGATAAGGGGGCGTTTCAAAAGAAGAGTCCAAAAAATCCACCCAGGTGCATTTAATCAAAGGCAAGGTGACAATAGTGGAAACTCTCAAGCCCGTCAAAGTCACAATGATACTGGGATTCCTGTGCAAGATCAAGAGTAATCGAGGGACTTTGAAAGATCAAGAGTAATCGAGGGACTTTGAATCATTTAACCGGTAATTAGGTCTGAACCGTAGAAATAAATTTTGGTGCAATGAATATTTATTAAGTATACAAATAAAGTTTGTAGTATATTTTGTCTTTTGCCCATGGAATGGGAACATAAAAAAAATACACAAAAATGCATTTATAACTTGGGTGAAGGGAGGAGGGGGGGGGTGCGGTGGCTTCACTATAAGATCGTTATGTTGCTTAGGCTTTAGCTGATTCAAGTTAATTCAAGTCATATTTATGCTTTTTTTTTTTTTTTTGTCCAGCTGTCGAGTCATTTTCTTAACCCCAAGCTTAGCTAGCTTTCAACGTCCACGCGGTTTCTGCTTGCATTCGTAAACAGTGCCACGGTCGTCGAAAAGAGTTGGATTATTTGTCACAGAATCTCAAGGATTTCATGGATTTCTATAAGAGATAGTTACGCTGCAAGCGTGAAGAAAGAGCGACTCTTTTCCCATTCCAAAGAATCGCTGCAAGGAACAACTAGTTTTAATTTAACTTCGCAGTACCGTTCGCAAAGAGGCCGAAAGTTGAAGGCGGACAATCCTCTCGGCCCTAGTACATTAAGATAGTGCACCTGGTCTTCTGTGAGAGCTTTAACGTACGGCACAATAAATATTGTGACCGCTTTCTTCTAGAGAGGAGAGGCGATCGATCACTGGCGCTGCTTGATATAATAAAGATTTTTCATAGCCATTTGGTAACAAAAAGAAGACATCGTTACTTTCGAAAAACTTAATATCTATTGCTTTCTGCTGTTCTTCTTGAAATGTCTCTATCCCAAAGTTCGCGTAAACTTGCCTTAAAACCTCGCACGAGATACCCTACCCCACTAACGGGGATGTTTCTTTTAATTCGTGGATATACGAGGTAAATGAAAGAGAAATCAAGGAACTCGATATTCAAATTTTGTGGCATTGGCAGCGGTCTTAGGAGTGCGGGGTGCGAAGGGATCTTATTAAATATGGCGGACTGATCGTTAAATACAGCAGATCAATTTAGGAGGACTTCTGTGGACTGAAGTTCGAATCTCTCTCCTGGGATCAGAGGATCCTCAACCTCACATAACACCTCCTTCTATCTTGATTATTTTTTTCTTTCAAGAAGCATGTAGATATTTTGTTCGTAAAGTTAAAGAATTTGCTGATAGATCAATTTCGTGGTATGTTTCGATTTCCATTAACAGCGTCTTAGCTAGCATGCAGTATAATAAGGATCAGTTGGCAATAACTCCCATCCGGGACTGTAAGACCTAAAACGTCAACAGAAAAGCTAGTTATTCCTGTTTTTTTTTCTTCAGAGCACCCGGATGCATTACATCATTACCCGGTTATACTCACATCAAGAAGGGAAAAAAAAATATCGGCCTATTGTTTGTTCGCTAAAAAGATCACATTAATATTACAAAATAAAATACACAGCTGGAAATATCTGGTGCTAAATTGGATCTACTCCATACATCATTAAACGTGGATCGAGGAAAGACAAGCTATATTCTGACGTTTGGGTCACCTCAGTGCATCTCACGCCTGGAATGATGAAAGCACTTTGGCACGCGTTAGCGTTTAGTTCAGTTTTCTTCACGACGGTCGATCTAGGTGAGTGGGTTATCATCTTTAACTTGACATCTCTACTTTCTAAGTACCGCTCATCTACAAGAAAGTGCTTCTTAATTTTAAAACCCTTCAAAACCACTTACACAATTTATGAATAGATCACATATAGATAGATATAAGTATTCCCCGTCGTTTTTTAGAGTACAAGTTAATATTTCTCCCATATTCCTTGAACGGAAAGCATTTGTAATTGCTTGTCCATCCGAAGTTGCGGTATATCACGAATATGGACAACTCTAGTAGATAAAAGATAAAAAATAATGCAAAATAATTAACTTTTTCGGTTAAAATAAAATCCAGCAGACTTTCGCGGATCATCGCTACCTTTGAGATAAAAATTGTCAAAGACCGATCTATGCAAGAGATACTTACGCGTAATGAATACCACATGGCTAATATTACATAGAATGTATGTCAAATTATTTTCCATTTTAAACTTCGCGTCATCCCTTATGTCATGTATTTCACTGAATTCAAATTGGCTTTGCTTCGACTGCTTCGACTTCACGAATTGTCGGATGCGTTTCCTCGCTGCAAAGACTTATTTTGCGTGAGATGTAACTAAGCCTCGTTAAAAAAAATTGTTTTGGAGTTGTCATCGATAAACAGAAAAACTTTGCCTACATTTTGCGACATTTCCCTTGCATCACATATAACGAATTTATGCTTAAATTTAGCATTGTATTAATTTTTAAAAGATGTCAACATTACGAACAAATGTCGGCAACAAGGGTTGAAAGAGAGTCTTTCAGCTTTTACGTTGGAAATGAAAAGAAGAATAAAATGTTTGGATTATAAAATGGGAATGGCAGACTCTTTAGAGATATTTTAAGTATCACGATTTAACCTGACTGAGGCAGTTTCGATCTTAGGCTTTTTTCCTAAGGGAGAAGTATTCTTCAAAAACCGCTCTCTCTTATTTTAAAATTGTCGCTCCAAAACTTTACCTCGAATGACTTACTTGTAATCTTCTGTCTTGTTTGAATTTTTGAATTTTCGAATGTTAGTGGCTGGATTGTGCAACTCGTTAAGCAGCAGTACAAGCGCGGTATGCCGGCCGCTACATTCATATCCCGTCTTAATGAAACTAGTTCAACTTGAAAACAGTGTTAGCTTACTAGAGATAAAAATATTTCGCGCACAGCGAAACGAGAGCGGTTCTGTGTAAATTGAAAATTCGTTTGAATAGGACCGTTTTGCCAAATTACGCAGAAGTAGTTGCGTCAAATGTTTGAGATGCTCCGTTTTCAATGTATAACTACTGTAGAATAAATGACAAAACCAAGTAGAACCATGGTCTGTCGAGACGAAAGACTCAAACTTGAGACATGAGCTTTTCAAAATTCACTTTGAACGGTTAATCAAGCTTCAGCCTCTTCTTTTGGTTCAGATCGAGAAAGTTTATCAGGAAAATTTTGACTTTGTTAATATATTTTTTTGGCGTTTTTTATAGCTGTCCAGAGAAAGTAAACACTAGATAAGTTTATTTTCCTTCTGACTGAAACCAATACTAACTCTAACAGGATGCTGCTATTTCCGGTGTTAAACTCAGTAGACTTCTATTTTTCTTTGATATGCTTCGTTAGCAGGGAGCAAATGCAAAGATATCCGCCCCAAAGACCACTTGTTCAGGAGACGAGAAACTTGTTGGAAACTTAAAAAGGATGGACTGCTAGGCCGGTGGAATTGGAAATCCTGTAGCTTCCTTCAAAACACATCCTTTCAATGGTGTTGTGAGTTAGACAGATGTCTTAAACTTAACAAATCCGTCCCTGAAAACTGTTCTCACAATCTTCAAGTTGGAAATCTTCAAAATATTACGTTACTTAGTGGTAAAAGAAAGTGGGGGATTTATATCAGACCCAAATTTGGTCAAGGAGAGCTTTGCAATCGCATTTTCTACAAAGCATTTAGAAATTGGGGTAGGTGAACAAAAACTTGCCATGGGTTAAATTAACACTATCAGCATGCCAGTTCACTAACATATTAGTTTATGCTCAGTATGCGTATATCGAGGTATGAATGCACGAGGGAAGTTTGGAGAGCACGAGAGAAGCGTAAGAATTACTCGTATGCAACGGAAAACAAACTTAAAAGGTGTGAAACCTCTTGGCTAAATTCGACGAAAGTGAAACTGTACATGTCTTGTTATGGTTACATGAGGATTGATAACATTTTGCTTTACCACAATAGCTCGTTAATTAGGATTATAGGAAGGACTTGCGCCCGCGATATGCTATAATATGGTAACGATTACCTAACTCTCACTTTTTAGGGCAACACTTCGTCTGACAATTATTTCCCATGAATGCCAAATCTTTCGCTAAGAGAAATGAGGGAAAAGACGAAACCAAACAAAAAAGGGAAACCCCAACGAAGCAAAGCAATTAAAAATATATATATATAAACAAACAAAACACCGCTTATTTACTTCCAATTCCACTTTTCCGTCAATTCTCGCAGGAAACATAGCAAAAAAGAAGCAGGAAGAACATAGAAAGGTAATGGCAAAAGATTCATAATTAGAGCAATACTGAAAGCATATCTGATATATAACTTGACTTTAAAAACTGGTTAACTCCTATGAGGAGGGCAAATCATTGATTAACTAAATGATTGTCTGCCTGACTGACTGACCAACTGATTGACTGACAGATTTCAAAATCTGGAAGATTGACTGAAAGATTGGCAAACGTGGCTGATTGATTCATTATTTGAGCCCATGTTTATTTATTTGGTCCATTTAGAGGTGTCATATTCTGGCAATGTACAGAAAACTTAACCCAAAGAAGATGAAAGATTTTCAGGTAATGCAGTTTGATAATGATATTGCTATTCCAGAATAGACGACACGAAAACTGCGTTAAATTATATTGTAGCCGGTAGCGAAAAAAAGCGAGGCACAATATCGCGATACAATACTTTACAGAATGGCTCCACGCTACGCAAGTAAACTAACCCGTAAACTCAATTGCTACAAGCTGTTTGAGAACTCGAATGAAATCCGAATCATCGGGCGTGCCAGCCATATGCATGTCGGGTATTCAAAGTATGCATCTAAAGTATCAAAAGATTTCGCAACATTAAAAATTTGCCATTAGCTGGATTTAACCCTTTAGCTCCCATAAGTGATAAAGACAGAATTTCTCCTTACAATATCAATACAATATCAAGCAGGCAAGCTACGAGAATAAAGAACAATATCAATTAGGGAAATATTACCTGATCCAATACCAAATTCTCTGAACTAGCATTACAAGAATTATGTAGCAGACAGTAAGGAGAATTACAAATGAGATCTTGGAAGTTAAAGTGTTCATGTAGTTTACCCAATCTCGAAGATTTTAATCTGTCAAAAACTAATGGCTTGTTACAACCTTTAAAACTTCAAGGGCAAATTTGATTGCAATGATAAAATGAAAGATGAAATAAATCACTCTAGGTATATATCTGCCAATAGCTCTCCTTCGATTCTTATAAACAGGCCGCGTTCTCTTTACTCAAAAACATAACGTCGTCCTGTACGAAGTATAACGGGATGCTCTCCACACTGGCTCTCGAGGACTTCTTGAGGAGACACATTCAAGCACGTTTGAACACTACAGCTACCAACATTTCCTTCTCAAGCGAAGTTGCAGGTAAACCTTATGAAGAAAATGATGATGAAAATAAAAAAAACAAAAACAAAATAAAGCAAAAAAAAATTAACTTTACGGCTCCACTCAATGTCCACGCAGGCTTGTCCCTTGTAGCCCTCGGCCATTGTTTCCTTTTTCCGTTTTGAATAATTTAGTTACTTAGCTTATCCTTTGTTCCAAATAGGTAGTGTTACTTAATTTATAAACTAACTTCTACAAAATGATGTCTTTCTTCTTACCTGATATTGAGGAAAATGAAGTAATTATTGGAAAATTTTACTGGATGAGCCTTACTTTAAGCTGGGACAAGACCAATCGCACTCAAGAAAATTTGATTGAAAATATATGGGGCTTAATATTCTACTACCGGACTAAATCGACACCCTAAAAACACGTATATCTAAATAGTCTTGAGATTACACGGATTTCTTTCTTTTTTTTTTCTGTATAACCCGCAATCGTAGATGTTTTTGCCAGTCGCCCTCACCGGGACAGGGGCAAAAAATTTCGTTTTGCTGATCCCAAAAACGAAAACTTCGTGGAAATTTCATATCGAAACGCCCAAGAGAATGGTGAGTATGTTAAGGAGTAATCTCAGTTAGTAATATCTGAACCCCTGATTAAAATTTTTTTGTTATCCGATGGCAGTGATATCATGGCGGAAGAGATAGATCAAGAAATAGGCGTGAAGAAAAGAAAAGGAAAAACAAAAACAAAAACAAAAAAAACACAGACTTATCTTTGAAATCGAGGCGCAAACAATTCCACGGTGTAGTTCTGCCAAACATAGAATAAGAAAAGAGAGGAAGTAAACAAAATATCTTCGACCATATTTGAACCTTTTTTAACACACCATGGGGGGGAGAGAGGTTCAGTCGCTGCCTACAGAGAGTAAAGGAGGGGAGGGGTTGAACTATAGAAAATTGGCTGCCAATCAACCCCAGTGAGGGGAGATCAATTAAATTCACAATCAAAACCCTCTGACAGCCCTACACCAGGCGATAAATATTGACTGTTACCTTAGTTATCATTTCATTCAATTTAACTCCATCAAGGCTCAATGGTTGTAGGAGTAATGTACAAAAATCTCACCGAGCTGTTTATATCAGACAAGAAGACCAGAGGAACCAACAAAACGAGGTTTGTATTTCAGCAGTAACAAAATCAAATACGTTTGTTAAATCAACGTATAAAGACTACAGTAAAAAAAAATAATGATAAATAAAAAACTAAAATGGACAACATCCTTAAAATGTATGGCGAAGATAACAATCGCATCCAAACCTGCCTCGTGGTTTTAAATTATTGTCTCTTTTCAAAAACCAAGGCCCAGAAGTAGAGGTGAGCAAACATTGACAACTTTTGCACGAGTTCTTGATACATTTTACAATTTTTTTTGTTTCGAATAAATGCATTTACATATTTGTTTGATTCAAAGCTATTTAAAATTTCATTTAGTATTTTTTTGTTGTTTTTGTTATCAGGGAGCTGAACTCCATAATTATGTCCGTTGAAATATACCCTGAGCCTGCAGATGTATTACTGGAGAACATCACCTTGGTTTTTAAACACATGAAGGTATCTACATCACCTCTACAATGAAAGGAGTTCACATCCCCCTTTTAAACCTTGTTCAATCTATAGCTTTCTCTATGACAGTTTGCCTGACACGCGAAACATCGCTCTATAATCTCTATACGGTGGCCAATTTACATCATCAACTCAGCTGATAACGCTCAACCATCTCATGATATTAAGCTTGTGTATAAAAATCTTAAATTTCAAACTTTATATTTCCCATCAAGGGATTATAGAGTTTATGATATCTTGTTGCTATAAACTTCCTCTTGATTCGTACTTTTTAAATTTATTTTAGGCCGGTGGAAGAAGCAGAGAGTGTGTATTCTGGGACATGTTTGGAGATGGGTAAGGCTCGCTATTTTCAGCCGAAATTTACTTCTTGCACAATTACACGAGATGTCTTTCTACACCTACATGTATTGTGTTGGCCATTTAGAGAGCTTTATTATATTCTATACCCTGGAACTACAATAAACCACATGGATTTTTTTTTCGTATAAAGCCCCGAGGGTTGGTCAGCGCAAGGATGTTTCACCAGAATCATCAGTGAATCCCAAACGGAATGCAAGTGCAATCATTTAACTCACTTTGCTGTTCTAATGGATACTACTGCAAGTAAAGATGAAAATAGTACAACGGATACAAAGGTATGAGTTTCATTTAGTGTTCTTTCCATGGTGTATAATTGTATTAGTTGTCAGTATGTATCATGTCAACTTTATACTTTAATCAAACAAGGTACTTGCAAAGAAAATGCATTTGTAGTGTTAGTACTTCAAAAACCTTTGTTGTACAATTCGTTTGCTTGACATAGAAATTGGCCATTATAAAGTGTTTCCAAAACATTCAGTTAGGAGTGCTGTGGCTTGAAAGAAAGAACACCCCTAAAAGTGTGTTGGGTCAATTGCACTCAGATACACTCAAGGAAGTGTATTTTTAGTTACTATCTGCCACTTATAAGGAGGTTCATGTGACACCCTGATTCCTATGAGCTTGGAATGTTCATTAAAAAATCAGTCTTTTTCGAAGTGCCCCTGAAGTTCAGGAGCATGGTTTTACGCTAAAGAAGTCCATTTAAAATGAAGGTCGTGTATTTCAATTGACTTCAAAGGAAGATGACAGGATATTAACAGTTCTTACACGTGTTGGAATGGCTCTATCGCTGGCTGGAGTTTCTGTAACAATCATCAGCTATATACGGCTAACGTAGGTCTACTTTAGTTATATGGTATAACTTGCGAACTAAAAATTGCTCAAGGTATTGGTCAATTTAGCATGAAGGATGTGGTCTTTTTTATTGTGTCGTCTGATAGTCCAGGTGAGAGTAAAGAACCTGTTGGTTGACAAAGACTGACGTGTAATCAACCTGAATAAACCTGGGAGGTAGGGTAACCTGACGGTGGTTTCAAACATTCTGTCGGTCAAATTAACTAAACTGAGACAAAATAGCCCACAAATTTAAAAAGGAGGTCAGCTGTGAAATTTGCACAAGGTAGACAGAGAGTTAAGTGCGAAGGACATCACCAGCACATTAGATATGAATTTGTTGAGGTAAGTTTTCTCTTCCTTCATTTCCTTAGTTGAATCTTCTTCCTTTTGGTTTTCACATTTCCTAACACGTCTATTTGTTTTGGGCTTCTGTAGAGACAGGCAAGCACCCATGTCCCATATTCGAGTGGGACTAACATCTTGCATTGGAGCTGGACACATTTTCTTCTTTGCTGGGATTGATGCCACAGAAAACAAGGTGAGAGTTGGAGCAGAATGTTTTACATCTTTATTACACCCATTTTGAAATCACTGGTGGTCCCTGTAATCTGACTGGCTGATTTATGCACGAATCGCACCATTTATTGTTTTAAATCACATCTTTTTCCCAGCCAATGAGAAGGCTACGCTAAAAACAAAACATCCAAACAGATTTCAAGGCTTGTTTAAAGTCACCAATCAAATTGCAGTAAAATTTGAGTCAAAGAGTATCACGCGGTAAATTTTCCTTCTTTTGTTTCCTAAACTGTTACTTTTTCCCTCCAAAAAATGGATGAATTTAATTTCAAACCAGCTCAGTACTGCATCAATAAAATATTTTAATTTACCAAGTCCTGTATTTGAGCGATTTCAAAATGAATATAATAAAGTGGTAATTGAACCTCGTGTCGTGCAATTTTGGTCTGAAATCCTACTTGTAATTTCAAATCCAACTCGCGCTGCGCGCTCGTTCAATTCTGAAATCACGCCTATGATTTCAGCCCAAGTTGCACTCCGCTCAGTTCAATTAACATTATTTATCCTTCGGTGTTTTTTTTTTTTTTTTTTTTTTTTTTAAGATAAATTTGACTGGGCTGTTTCTTTTTTCTGATAAATTCTCGCTTATCAGTACATCAGCCTATTGATGATGATTCCTTACAGGCTGCCTGTGTCACAGTTGCTGCTCTCATGCAGTACTTCCTGATGGCAGCTTTCTGCTGGATGCTTGTCGAGGGAGCTTGCATTTACTTATTTGTTGTAAAGGTGTACAACATTAACTATAAAATATGTCGCTTTCATGGCCTTTGTTGGGGTAAGTAAAGCTACTTCTTAAGATGTGACAATATTGAATCCTATTGAAAACCAGGCCACTATCATAAATCTAATAAAGCAAAGCAGTTTTCAACCGAAACATATATATATATATAGATATATATATACAATGGTGTTTTTCCTTAGTTTTATGCTTTTATGCAATGTTTCAATACAAAAGTCCGATTGACCATCAATACTAACCATAAAATAGTCAATTATTAAATGAATAATTATTATTTATGATGAAGCGAAAATAATGTCATTAAACTATTTTAAAAAGTAGATATCGTGGCCCTAGAAATTATCTAGTATTTGTTATTGTCAACCGTACCAGCTTTATTAATTGCGCACTTTTGTTTTAGGACTTCCTGCGGTTATAGTTACTGCATCTTTAGGTATCGTTGCAAGAGAAGATGGAATCGAGAATTATGTTAGTGATCAGTAGTAAGTTTGAAATTTTACCTACTACATCCTCTCTATGGACCCGGAAGTATCGCTGCGGATATGTGCCATATGTGCCAGCCACCTGAACGGGGAAGAACCAGGGGAAGGGTTGTGAGCTCCCCTCTGGTAATCTTCTTCACGTCGAATGTGTGGATCGAAACTAAGTCCTCTATCTTTTTCTTTTTTTTCTTCCTTTGGCCTTTCTCTCTTTTCAATTTCTATTCCTTGTTTTATTGATACATTTATCCATTCATCCATTATTTTCTTTTTGTTCTAAACCCCAAGCTGCTGGATATCTTCAAGAAACAAAATCATCTGGATTTTTGTTTCCTTTGTTGGACTAATCGAACTTGTATGTGTTGAAACTTCTTTTTAAAAAATATTTAGCACTTTAATCTAAAATATATTTCGATATGTCTTGTCAGATTTCCAATAAGTCTATCAGAGTCTTCCTGCGTCAACATTCCACAAAAAATGCCAAAACATAAACGAAAGTGGTCAATCTCATCCCGTTCACAGATCCTCCTTTGGTTTTAAGTAAGGCATCATGACCCAGTCAAGGATTTCTTTTTTCTTTTTATAAAGGAGAAACAGACAGGAGGAATCTATTGATCCATCCACTAAACCACAAAGTGTTTTGAGAACGAATTTATATTCCCAAAGCTGTATAATAGCAAACGGCTTAGGGACTTCAGCTATTTGACCTATTTTTCAAAATGTACTCCAGTTACTTCCCATACTCTTGTGCCAAAACATTTCTTATTGAAAATCCTAATTAGTGGAGTCGACATCACTCTTAGCTGCCGCCCCTTTTTCCCGCTTCTGTCCTCTTTTTTTCTCATATTTTATTCCTGATGGACAATATACACAAATTAAATAACATGTTTTCCTATTATTGCTTGTAAAGATTAATATAGCGATCCTCGTGCGAGTTATCAAGGAAATTATCACAATCCAACATGTGAAAGACAACCAGAGTGAGCAGATCAGGTAGGATGAACATTTCCCTCTTCCTTTGAATCACACGATCCTTTCAACAAAGCTGTTCCCAACAGAATGCCAGATACTTGACACAAATGAACTTCATAATGGTATAGCACATTATTAAGTACTGTAGCTCCGTTGTTGGACGTCCGATTGCGAAATCCAACGGTCTGGGGTTTGTTTCCCTGAGGAATTGAGTTTTCAGGTTGAATACAAATCTCTTTTTCTCCTTCAGGGTTGGTGTTCGAGCATGCGTGGTGTTGACTCCGTTGCTTGGAGTTACGTGGCTGATTGGTTTCTTGTCGCCGTTGCACATTGCGTTTTCTTACGTGTTTGTCATCCTAAACTCTACACAGGTAAAGTACAAAGCTAAGGGCTGATACGCCTGAGGTGCTACTTCTAGAGGAATGTTAAGGCGTATTTCCAAGAAGATGATTATCAAACTTTCAAAATGAGTAAGGTGTAACTCAGATTAACTTTCTGATTCAGAAACTTTTAAAGTTAATGTTAAGCACAGAGAGAACATAAAGCGAGAAAATTAGTTAAATTAGGTTGTGATGGCCTATCTCTAAAACTATAGACCTGCTAAAACCTCTGAAGTACCAAGATACCATTAATTCTTACGCTTAGAGTGCCCTTAATTAGATCAGGCTTAGCCGATAGAAAAGAATGACTGAAAATAAAAAGAAGTGTGGGACCGTTAATTTTACGAGAAGACTCTTTATTCATGGTGAAAAAAAAAGAAAAATAACCCTTTAACTCCCATGAGTGATCAAGACAGAATTTTTCCTTACAATATTAATACAGTATCAAGCAGACAGGTCATGAGAATGAAGAAAAACATTAATTAGGGTATTACTAGTTGATCCAATACCAAATTCTCCAAATTAAAATCACAAGCACTATATAGCAGAGAGTAAGGAGAATTACCAATGAGATCTTGGGAGTTAAAGGGTTAATGTTCCTTTGACGTTTTTCTAACCTACAGGTTTTTTTTTTTTTTCAATTAACTATTTATTTATTTATCTGCTTATCTATTTACTGGACCCCTTTTTTCTGCAGGGCTTCTCGATTTTCTTCTTTCACTGCTTGAGAAATAATGAGGTATGGATAAATTTGAGTCGTCATGATCTGCACGTCTTCAACAGGAAAAAAATGTTTGCTAGCGAAAGGAAAGTATCTAATTAGTGCCTCACATTCCTCACTTAGATAAGAGAACGTTTCAAAAGAAGACTTCGACAAGCACAAAATTAAACCCCAAATGGGAAAGGCAAAGTCTGTGAAGCCAGTCGGAGTCGAGATAGATGCTCAAACTTCAGAGTTACAATGAACCATGATATATGCACTTGGAGAGTTCTAAGTAGATACTGAACTTACGTTTACCTTTGACCAAAACTATGGAGAAATTCACCATCCCCACAGATTGTCAGCGGCTCAATTTAGTTATCGTCTTCGAGAGGATCCCACAGTTTTAAGAGGGTATTAGTCGTCGCCATAAAAAAAAAAATTGATTGACATCGAGGGAGGATAATTTCACAGAGTCTTATGGAGGGGTGTGGCAACCAAAATCGTTCCAACCCCCCTCAACACGGCGCAGTATCATGCTCAAAATCGGACAGTGGTATAGGAGAGATTAGGAATCATGTCTGTAAAACTGGACAATGCACATCAGCTGAAATTATAGCATTATAAATTATTTTTGCTGAAGTGTAATTTTTCGCAAGTTTAGTCATAGTTGTGATAAATTGGTTACATTACTTTCGGTTGTCCAATGTTCAGCAATCGTTTAAGCTGTTTACTAATTAAATGCACCCCTGCTTCGCAATTATTCGATTTTGTTTATAACTCGTGTGATTATAACCCAGACGGGATTACAATCATCCTCGTTATCATTAGAAATTTCGCAAGTGCTTAGGAGTCCAGTTCTACTCTCGAACGGAGACATACAAAAGTCTAGTCTTAGTGCGGTAAATCGTCAAATCGTCCTAAACAAGAATGCCAACTTATCTCATAAATCTCATTCGCAATTTCTCTCTACCGTCTGCTATACAACTCTCAAGTCGTTAGTTTGGAGACTTAGGTATTGAATCAACTAATTATCCTTTCATTGAAATTTTCTTCATTTTCCTTTCTTAATTTATCTGAATACTGTATTGGTATTGTAAGGAGAAGTTATTTCTTGGTCAGTGGTGCGAGTCAGAGGGTAACTGCTGTACCTGAGAAATTTTTTCAGCCAATTTAAGCTTCGTGCTCTACTTTTTCGACTTTTTTGGAGATTTTTTTAATTAAATGTCTTGGTTCATGATATGTGACGATTTCTATATAATTATATGATTAAGTATTCAAGATTTAGCTCTAAGATTGAGATGTCAGAAACGCCTTCGAGTTTTTTAAAGAAGTAAATCTTAAGATCTGCAAACAGTCATTAGGCATATGAATTAACTTAGATACAACTGATTTTATTAAGTAGAACACTCAATTCAGTGTGTAGAATGTAACATACAGATGATAACAATTTCATTAGGCTATTACACTTTGGTTATATAACCATGCAGATACAACTGTTGCATGTTCATCCTTTTTTCATAAACACGTGATAATGCAAATAGAAATTAAAAAGGATAATAAAAATGTTATAACCATGCGATGCAACTGTTGCACGTTCATTATTTTTTTTATAAACACCATTATGATTCAAATAATCTAAAAAACAAATTATCTTAGCTGCTTGCAAAGCGAATGGGCTAGAGAAAACGAGAAGAGACTGGAAACACATCTTGGGCACCCCAGGACCTTACCATCCTTATTTCCTCACTCGCTTCCTTTTAAAACTTAAAATTGACCATCGCATTAAAAAAAAGGAATACATTTCTAAACATCAGTACCATGTGGGAATTCTGAATATAAGAACATAGAAACAAAATGGGAGGAAAGGGAGGGAGGGGTGGTACTATCACAGGTCTTTAATATGAGCTAGGTTTTAACTTAAGAGCGTGTCCACGAGAGCACCGGACAATCGTGCTATACGTCATCTCACCGATTTCAATGAAAATAAGTCAGTTTAAAGGGTCTACCCCAAAACTCAAAAAGAAAAACTGGTTTCTGTTTTGGTTTTTTTCAGGGGGAGAGATAGAAACCCCCCCCCCCCGATTTTTCTTGGTTTTCACCAAGAAAATCGCTTCAAAATAGGTAAAATGTATGAAGCTCTCACTGCGATGGTATTTAATCAATTACTCTGAGAGTTTGCACACATATTTTTACATCCTTAGTTAATGTCCGCCACAAGTATCAGTCAAATTGATTGTCGGCTTGTCAATCAACAGAGGCAAATATACGACTGTGTTTTTAGACTTTTCGATTCATCCAAATATTTGACAACTTTGAGGTCAAATATCTCCTGTTGCCAGAAAGCTACAACACTAACCTTAATTATCCTTTATAACCCATTATTTCATCTCTGAAAACCATGAAAAAAATCATTGGGCACTACCTTATTTTCGTGGATACCTTTTAAAATCTGCGACTGTGACAAGTTTCTCTCAACTACACCTGTAACGCAATTCTTGCTCTAAATAAACCTACATTTTTTAGCTCTTTATACAAGATGATTCATCAAGAGAGGTGATAAAAGGGGAAAACTTTCGAGATTTTTTGTATGCATGGAAAATTTCACGTTTAGAGAGATGCATGTAGGTGAAAAATCAATGGGAAAATCGTAGCGTTTCTTTCTTTAGTCTTTTATTACTTTGAAGATTTGCTAAAACCAGCAGATATAGCTTTTGTACGGCACAAAACATTCATTGTTTATCATTATCATTGCTCATTTTAGGAGATCTTAAAGTCACATGCTGCATGTTGGTTGATATCACTACAAGTTCCAGTGTGCACTCTCTCTTGAGAGCAAATATCAATAGTTATATCAGACTAAAAACTGTGCTTCTAGCCCTAACTTATATATGTCAGTCCTTTCTCTTAACCTAATATTGATAAAGTTCGCAGGAAGATAGATATATGGACATAAACAAAACACCTTCAATAACATAAGTGGGCTGTTGGAGACCTCAAAGTTCGTAGGGTCTATTTTATCACCTGGGATTAATCCTCTATTGTTGAGGGTAGTTACGGGAAACGGAGGAAAAATCCCTGAATTTTGCTTTTAAGGTGTAATGAAGTATATTGTCGAATACGAGTTGTAAATAAAGAACTTAAGCAAAACTACGCGAGAGCAACGTAGCATGAGTAGCTACGAATATCAAAATGAATTTACTTTAGGTGTTGTAAAGTAACAATAGCTTGCTATTGTTACTTTACACAGCTGATTAGACCTTAAAGTTAACAAATTCTTTACAACTTACGATTCACTCCAATAACGATGAGCTAAATACCCTTACTTCCTTCTTTAATTACATGTTGCAGTTCTCAAAATCTCCAGCCAGTTTGGATAAATTCAATTCTTTGCCATCTTATAGGCCTCAGTTATTTTCTGTAGTGTATGGTGGGTTTAAAGGAGCGTTTGCATGTTGCGTGTTTCCAAATCCGTTTAAATCTAGAATTAATTCGCCTTTCAGTATTTTAAGCTCTGCCCAAAAGAACGGTAAAGTTACGATATTATTGCCTGCGAGACTTCACATATTTTTGTTCTTAAATTGTTGAATTGCGTGACAGTGAAGTCTTTGGTATTTGCCTATCAATAGTATTAGATTAAATTTCTCCACAAATTTGCCTTTGATTGCTATTCTTATGCGAAAGCTAGTTAACGTAGTGCTTTGAAGAGTGTTTGTGAGTTTCGTGCAATAAAGTTATGTTTGTCATTAAAGCCTCTTTGTTTCCGTAAAATCCTGTTAGATATTATGCAAAAACAATAACATAGTGCGTTCGGGTCAAAAGAGAGTTTATCGTGTCCAGAATTCACGGCTGTCTACTACAATTCGACATTGCTGTATTTTTTTGTTACAAAGAAAAGTTGTACAAATGCAAAGAGGTTAATTAACAGCTCTGATAAATGCCAAATTAGAGACAGAAGGAGGACTTGGTTAGGATATGGTTTGTATACTGGTCATATAGAATGGGTATTTGATATGCATTATATATATGGGTATACGTAATGTAAAATATATACACGTAACTTGGAATGTCTACATAATTTGGCACAAGGGATAAACCATTCCCCACACCAAGCGAAAAGACTTGGATTCAAGCCCTAGTACTAGCAATATATTTTTTTTAATATATACTTTTCATTCTCTGATGACAGTGAAACAAAATTAAGTCGTTTGTTTATTTTCTGTTTTTTTTTTTCTCTAAGAGCACGGTAACGAATCCTGCATTCTGATTGCTTCTTGGTGCCGTCCATATTTTTTTTTTATCTCTACCCACGTGAGTCGTGGATCGCCGAGTACATCCCTAGCTTCGTTACTATTTTCATGAATATAACTTGTTTTTCCGGCTGGACATATTTTCAAGCAAAGTATTTTTAAGCAATTCAAGCCAATTATTAAATTATTAATCGTCTCTTTTCTCTCTCTCAAATCCCTTTGGATGCTAGCGACAACTTGTTTATAAAATGAATTTGTCTTCGTAAATGTGATATTATAAAATTGGTTGAGACGCGGCCTAAAAACCGTTTCTAATTGGATTGAATCCTTCACCAACTCATAGAGTAAAAACTGTGAGACATTTGTTTATAATAGGCCACTTCCGAGTTCTCACGGTTCAGTGATCTGGTACCGAAATTACGGTGCAAGGACGAGACTAGGTGCGAAGTGGTTCTCGTCGGTACAACGAATAAAGAGTCGTGGTGGTGAAAATGAAAGAAAACTTTTGGTGTCATTATAGAACCGTAGCGAGGACTTACTGTACTTTGCGAAACGAAATTGTAGTTTGTGACACAACAAAGGCACGCGAGCTGTGGAATGTTGGGGAAGTGGTACTGGAAATTTGCCTTCACTTGTTTGTAATTTCTCCTCCAATAGTTTTCTGCGGTCTTTGGTAGGCTTGAGGCGATTGTGATCGTAAAACTGGCATATTATGCTCCTAGCACTGCTCAAAATTTATGAAATTTTTGCCCGAGTTATGCTCGTTTCTCTAAATTATGCTCCTGGCATCAGAATTATGCTACTTGACTTTAAGCAAAATAAAGGCAGAGCACCGGGGTAAACACAAAACAAACAGCAACTGATTACTTATCTGGTGACTGCAGCCCATTATTTTAATAAACCAATTATCAAACATTGTGTCGTTGCACGTTTCCCCTA